AGCTGGCTCCAAGGCAGAAGCAGCATGGTGGAAGGGTCTGGGGGAGGAGAGCTGCTCACCTCATGGTGGCCAGGAAGCAGAGAGTGAAGGTCACGGCCTGGGAAGGAGATGGACCCTCCAGGTCATGCCTCAGTGACTGCCTTTTCTGGCCGGACTCTACCTCTCAGCTCTAAAGTCTTTGTACAGCATTCCACATCCCTCCTTCCCAATGTCCTACCTCTGAACACATGAGGCTTTGAGGGAACATTGTAGATTTATACCCTAGCATAAATGGGAGAAATATCACATTATGGTTTCACTGAGGGTCTATTGTGTTCCCAGGACCTAGTAGTGTTCTGACCACTAAGTATGTCCTACCTGTAAGAGAAAGCAGCTGGCCTCTCCTCACAAATGTGTTCTGTTTCAACAGGTAATCTGTCCTTGGGACACCGTGGTACTGTCTTGGAAATTAGGTAGATCTACCCAGGCACGGTAGCACTCACCTGTAATTCCAGCACTCTGAGAGGCTGAGGCAGGAGTATCACAAGTGTGAACCCAGCCTGGGCAATTTAGTAAAACCCTGTATCAATGCCAGTACTGGGGAGGCTGAGGCAGGAGGATCCCTACAAGTTTGAGGCCATCCTAGGCTACATAGTTCAAGTCCAGCCAGATCTACATAGTGAGGCCCTATCTTTAAAAAAAAAATAGCTGGAGGTGTAGCTCAGTATAAAGGCCCTGGATTCTGAAATTGCCTTTTTGTTTTCTCCTTAGCTTATATACAATTTAAACATTTTTTGGAGAGGGGCTTGTTTTCAGGGATATTTTGGAAATCTAAATACCACACTAATGTTAGTGATTACATTTTTAGAGTCTCTTTCCTCAAGAGATTTGGAAGCATTGCTCTGTTTAGATGATAGATGGTCATATGAAAGCTTCATTCCAGGCACTCACCCAAGGGACAGAGGTAAGCCTGCCCTGAGGTTCCCCAGATGAGGCTCCAGTCTCACATGGCATTGTGGTAAATTCTTCACAGAGAGGAGAAGATCAGAAATTAAGCAGCATAGAGTCGATTTTATTTCAGAAGCAGGAAGCTGAGACCCAGACCCCCTGGCACACAGCAGGGAAGTGGCTGTGCCTTTCAGCCTGCTGTCTGGGTCTGTGGTCCATCTTCGTGGGCAGGGGGATATTCTCTGCCCCTCAGCTGGCACATCTTGCGGGAGAGCTGGGTACAGTGGCACCTCTGCTGTGCCTCACTTCCCATGTGCTTGTGAGCGGGTGAGGCTGCCTCTGGAGCCCCCCAGTGTTTGTGGGTGCTCTGGAAAACCCCTGCCAGCCCTCACACACCAACTGTGAAATGCAGCTTCAGCACTTGGCTTTGCCACTGCCTGGGGCTTGGGACAGCTCTGGATGTGCATTTGGGAGGCCAGCCCTGTCTTCCTCATGGGCATGGGCTTGGTGGACCTGCTGCTCACTCCCAGGTTTATTCCCGCTGGGCTCTCCCTCTTCACCTCTCCCCTGAGGAACCCCCTCTCCAGTCTGGCCACAGGCCATGTTCCCTTGGAATGGTGTGCAGGTGGTCTTTGATATTTGCTGAAGGAAAGACTCAATAATAAAAATTGTCAGCATTCCTGGAGCCCCATTCAGCACTTTCAGTTAATGAGACATTATGACCTTTGGTTTTTCCCATTATCCAGCTGTCAAACGGAATAAAGCCACATATCCACCTCCCTGAGATGTGGGATGTGCATGCCACTCAGAAGAGATTGTTGTAAGCCTCCAACTACAAAAAGAATGTTTTCCTGAATATTAACAAATTTCAAAAGCTGACACTCATTTTGGTAGCAGCAAAATGAAACTACTTTAATACAGTGTGGCCCAGTTTAAGAGGTGTTTTCTGGTTCTGGAAATGTAGCCATCCTTTTTCTTGATAGGTTTTTATAAAATAACAAACTGGGGGTTATATTTTTCAAGATATCTGTTGCATGAGTGGCTTAAAAATGGTAAAAGATGATTAGCAAGTATCTGTGAGTGAGAGTAACCTGTAAATACGCACCAATGAGTTACCAGATATCCCAGAAAAAGAGGCAGAAAGTTTTGGGAGGGAAGAGGAAGAGTGTGCAAGAATGACACTTTCCCTGGGCTTTGGGAGCTTCTGAGCATTGACTTCCAGCCTCTGCTGGGCTGCTTTTTGCTTCTGGCCAAGGCGTGCTGTGTGCAGTCCGTCCGTGAGTGCCTTTGGTACATGTTTGTAGTCTCAGAAGGTGGATCTCACTCTTCTTTTTATTCATGGGAACTGGAGCTTGAACCCAAAGCATGATCTTTATACTGAGCTACACCATCAGACTGAGAGTGGTTTTAAAATCCTTTCTGCCTACATTTATGCTTTTAAATACGAGAGACACTCGGTTCAAAAGTCCTAGTGTATTAAATACATCTTCAGAGAAATCTCATTCTCATTCTGACTTCCACACCACCTCACCATGCCCTTCAGAGCAATCATTTTCCTTAGTTTTTACTACATACTTCTTGGGACTCTTTGTAAAAAAGTAAGCCAAATGTGTAAATTTTGTTTAACGTAAAGAGTAGCTTACTGGGCATAACCTTGTGCATAATGCTGTTTCACTTAGCTCTGTATCTTGGAACTCATTTCCTGTCAGGGCTTGGAGACCTTCATTACTGTTGGCTGCATAGTACTTGTGTAGGTACACTGTTGTTCACTATCATTCTCTAATGGGCATTTGCTATTAGAAATAATCCCACAATAAACAACTCTGTGCATATAATGTTTCATACTTGTGGAGAGAGATCATCAGTATCTTTGAGAGCTGCATTAGAAGTGTTTCAGACATTCCTGAGTTTCCTTCCTACAGCTATGTCTGAGATGTGCTGTGTGGAACAATTCAGTGCTTTTATTGAACCTTTTGTAGCTTGAAAACACCCAAGTATAATTCACACACACACATACACACCACTCATGCAGCAGGATGCCGAGCTGGAGACCAGGCCTCCCCAAGTCTGTGGTCCTATTGGCATTGGTTGTGATGTCCTCTGGGCTCTCTGTGCCACCCACAGCCCAGCACTGGGGCTGAGGTGGGCAGAGCAGGCTTCTTGGGTAATGTCGGTCAGCCCAGGAGAAGCAGTGCCCAGGTGAGTTTTGCTGTTACGAAGAAGCTTTGTGACTTGGAGGAAGAACCACTAAGGGCCTCAGTTTCCAGATCCATACCTTGGTGTCCCCAGTACTCACACATCCCAGAGACAGTGTGAATCCAAACGTGTAAAAATCATTTGGAAGGAAATATGCTCTCTGAGATGCTATTTTGTCACTATTTCAAGAGTTTGGTGATGTGGGGCTGGGATACCAAAGGGGCATGCTGCTTTGGACCAAGTGACTCTGAGTTCAGGGAGATTCCAGGCAGCAGACTTCTTACTCCGGGTGCCATCTGGGAACCCCTGCCCTTTGCTTTCTGGTTCCTGGACCTACTTCTGCAAGTGGCCCTGAGAAGCAGCCAGGGATCAGAGGGGAAGCGGATCCACTCAAGTTCCTGCAGCCTCTGACCCTGGGGCCAGAAACATTCAGGGGACCCTGCTTCCTGACCATCTGGAGCGTGATGTCAGGCTCTCAGGAAGCTTGCCTCTCTGTGGTGGTGACAGAGAATGCAAATAACCCATCTAGTGTCCCAGGGAAGACGATTCCAGTTTCTAGTTCCTCGTTGGAGTCTAGTGAAATGAGTTGTGATCTGAGATAGAGACCTGAAATTTCTCTTCCTACCAAAATAAATTGATTTCTTTGGCTGTCTGAACTTCATTTCTTGACATGGACAGGAGTTAACCTAGGCTAAATTAAATTCATTTTCCATTAATAAAACTGGGTCACCTTGGGCTGCCTGAATGCTTCTAAAAATCTTAAATCATATTCCAAAAGCGCCAGAGTTTCACATAATTTTCATAAATTATCTGCTATGACACCTCACACCATCACCCACCTGTCTCTCCTGTGCCAGTTTAGATTTGAGGTCAGTTTCTGCCTCATTACAAGGCTGACCACAGCGGGAAGGCACTGAAGAGAGGCAGATCCACTGCGCCCCCCACCTATGTCCCTGCATGGGAGTCTTGCACCATGTGATGCTGGAGCTCTGTTTACACTGAGGGCTGATAAAATGGATCATGGAGGTAGGAGGTTGTGAATCATGAAAGTGGGTGGCCAGAGTGAAATTATTTCAGGAAGCCTTGTGGATCAGAGCACTTTCGCCTCAGAGCTGTTGGTGATACTTGTTGGAGGTGTGTTGAGCCAGGGGTGGCCCCAGAACCTCACCTGCCCTGCCCTGCTTTGCTGTGTGGCTCTGGGAAGGCTTTCGAAGTCCACCCTGTCCCCTCCTCCTCTTCTGTCTTCGTGGGTGAGAGAGCGGGGCCTTGGTTTCCTCCTGCTTGCTGCTGAGTCACCCTGTCTCATGAAGTCTGGCACGCATGGCGCCCCATGGCAATACAGTGGTTTCAATGTGGATTTTGGTGTATTGTGAAGTACAGAAACCTAGAAATGGTAACACTGTGGGAGATGTCTTTCAAAAATAAAACAGGGAGGGAGATAGAAATCTCTGCAGTGCTGTATTTCTTCTGTTCTTTAATAATTGGAAACATAACACTATGGGCATTTTTAAAACTGAAACTGCATTGTAGCTTAGTGGTAGAGCACTTGCCTAGGATATACAAAGCCCTGGGTTTAATCATAGCACCAAGAAAAGACTTTATTTACCTTTTTGATGAAGTGATTGCACTCTATACTTACAGATATGGAACAGTAGAAAAATAATAAGAAAATAGATGTTTCTTTCTCCCCTTAAAATATTTAAAAAGAACTAGACAGTCATGAAAAGAGAGGTGGCCATCCTCTAAATTTGCCTGCTCTGTCGCTCCAGCTTTTCATACTTTGAAGCTGTATCCCTTCTTTATTGCCCTTGTGAGAAGATCTCTGCAGTGTGCAAGGTACTGAGCACTGACCAAGTTTCTTTTGCTTCTATTTCCAGTGCATAGAGGCCAAAAAACACTGCTGGTATTTTGAAGGACTCTATCCAACATATTATATGTAAGTACTTGTGTTTTCCTGTTGGTTTGATTCTGTGCTCATGTCTTTCTCTGGCAATGATTTTCTTGGGTACAGGGCTGGGATAGAGGGTGGGAAAGTCCAGGTGGGGCCCAGCTTTCAGCCCTTGCCCTGGGTTTGATGCTTGCTTCTGCTCACAGATGGTAGCAGCCTTGTCAAGGGCATGGAGCCAGCGCAGGTGAGTCTCTCTGAGGAAGTGAAACACCCTGTGCTTTGCTCTGTGTGGTGAATCAACTCCTGCATGATTGGCAAAAAGGAGCAAGATTTCTGTGGGAGGCAAAAGTTGTTGACTGACATAAATCTTGCTAGCCAAAGGGAACAAGACTCATGACCTTGAGCAAGGCTAGGAAACATTCTGAGCTGAGTTCCTGTGTCTGTGTGTGTATGTGCATGTTTTTGTTTGTGTAAAATCATGATGGTTACTTTCCCCTGAGGTCCCCTCCCCAAGACAGATTTGTGTGGCTGTTGTCTTGGGACACGTTTTACTCCTTCCGGCGCCTACCTCAGCATATGCCAGCCTTGCTCTAATTAAAGTGTCGCTCCACTTTGTTATCGTAGTTCTGATATCTGCTGTGTTAGCCATCAGCTGTGCAGAGCCACCTGCCTGGGTGTCCAGATCACCTCTCCACCATACCATTTATTGTTGATTGTGTTTGGAAGTTCTTAGTTTTTAGTGGAATGTACCAAACCAATTTATCCCCAAAGCTCTGTAATTTTCAGTGTTGGATCTTGTAAACTGTGAGATATTACAGGAGTGCATTTAAATTGTGTTATAGCAGAAACACTTTGTATTCTAGTATATAGGGCAATTGGAGAAGTACACAATATGGTCAGTCCTCCGTATGCAAGAGTACTGCAACCCTCAGTAAACATTTAGAAGAAAATTTATAAAATTGCCTCACTAATAGGCACGTACAAATTCTGTTCTTGTCGTTTCTGCCCAACAGCACAGTCTAACTGCTGCTTACCTTGTCTTAGGTGTTCTAAGTAATCCTGGGGGCCTTGGGTTTTGCTGGGAATGTGCACAGGTTCTATGGGACGGCAAAGCCATTGTATAAAGAGTTTGGGAGCCCCAGGGGTCCTGGAACCAGTTTCCTCAGACACCCCGGGATGATCGCAGTGATGAAAAGGATTGTTCCTTAGGATGGACATGTTTTGCCCTGGCCCCTCTCAAGAAGAGCTTTGTGGGAGGAGGAAGCTACCCATCTGGAGAGCACAGGCAAACTGGCAGTGTCTTGGCTTCACCTCACAAGCAGGCATTGTGGATGCCCAGTCTTGGGGCCTGGCAAAAAGCCCTTGCAGCTGCAAGAGACAAAACCCACTTAGAAAATGAAGCAGCAGCATAAGGACTTGACTCTAATTATATAGTTGTCAGGTTGAGGATAAGTGGCTATGGGATAATGGAGGTAAAATATTTTGGTTCTTCTCAGTGTAATGAATTTCTGTTGGTAAGTTCAGTTTCTTGGATAAACATGAATATTACCCACCTCTTCCGGGAGTTCTTTCTTGGAAACATACATTTCTCCTGCCGTTTGGCCGATCAGCTTTGTCAGAATTTTGGGAATCAGATTCTGATTCCCAGAGGGTTGGGAATCAGGGGCTGTTCTTGTATTTGCTCTTTCACGTGTTCTTTTATGCATTTGTGTGTTCACTACATGTCCTGAGAGTGCTTTTGCACTGACCTGGAGAGGGAAAAGTTTGCCTGCTCTGTCACTCAGACCTGCTGGCCTAGTTTCCTCTCACCTCCGTTTCCCTCTGATAAGGGGGAGAAGAATCCTGGCATTGTGCTGTGCCCCAGTGTGAGCTCATGCCTAATACCAAGCACTGGAGGACCCCAGCCTCGAGCGCCAGCCCTCTTCCCCTGCCATGTCCTTTCTGTCGCCACTTTCTGGAGCCCTTCCTTGGAACAGCCCTTGCATTGCTTATCTGCACCAGCACAGACATTTATTTCCACCTGATCTCCTTTCTGCCTTTTTGCACATCAGTCCTCATTGCCTTCTTCATTTTCAGACCAGTGCCTTAAATCCTGGAATTTCTTATGCCCAGCCTCACCCATTCCTAGATGTCAAGTCCACCTTTTTCCTTCTGGTCCCTGCCACACCATTGCCTTGACTCGCTTGGGGGCTTATACCCTTGTGCCTATGCAGTGCCTACCCAGGATGTTTATCCTTGTGTTTGAGAAGCTCAGTTTCTGCCAACTTGATTTCTCATACTCTGGTATCCTGTCCTTAAGCACAGATTTTAAGCACAAGGCCCCCAAATATTATAGCTCAATTATTTGCACTTTGTTAGTGGAGGTGTAATTCAGCTAGCAAAATTAACCATTTTAGAGTGAGCCATGCAGAAGGCATAGTAGGGTCATGGTTGCACCAAAGTCACGCATGACATCTACACTCCCACAGCTACATGGGTCTCTGTGACATGGGTTCCTAAGATGAGTTCTAGAACTACACCTGCCCCTCCTCTGCACACATGAGGGATGCCGGTGTCCTGACACAGCCCTGAGCTGGTGTGCTGCCAAAGAGAAGAGCTGCTTTTTCTCTTCTGGCCACCAACATGCATGGCACGGCCCATCCACACCCTGATGGGTAGAAGCAGTCAACACTCAAGTTCTCCTGTGCCTGCTTCCCATCAAGTTGGGGTGATGAAGCATTTCCACTTAAGAAGAATGCTTAGCTAGATTCTGCACCATCCAGCCCTGTCTTGGCCGATGGTAGAGTAGCCACAGAAAGGTCCTGAGTCCCACTAGAGGTGCTTGGGGCTGCAGCAGACCTCCTCGCCTGAGGGTAAGTCTCCTAAAGCTAACTCCAAGGCTGCTGCCTGGTGTGCACTGATGCTGGTGCTGGGAAAGGAGCTCCTGTCCAGTCCAGACTCACTGTCTCCCAGAGCCTAGACAGGGCCCAGTGTCCAGCATCGTGGCATGCTGGCTGCCCACTAGACTTGGCCTTGCCACCCATGTAGTGTACGAGGTGCTGTCCTGCAGCAGTGACAGTGTACTTCATTCATGTGGCCCACAAGTACCTGTGGAGTATCTGTTGCTGTGGTGCACAGGACTGGGGAGATGCCTGGCCTCAGGGAGCTGCAGTGTAATACTGAGAGACTGATAGTGATTTTGAAGCATCTGTGATACTACACTAAAAGCCTACAGATCTCATTTAAAAAATGCATTTTCAGTATATTGCACCTGTCATTTCTCCCGTGTAAAGTGTTTTATATAAGATTTTCAAAAACACACAATTCCTTAAAGATGTGTCGGCATGAGGTAGCTTTCTTCTATGCTGTGATAAGTGGAGCACCTCCTCCCTGCAAAAGTTACATTTCCAATGATATTTCTGCTTCAGATTATAACTCACCCTGTGGAATTCACTAGGGAGGGAACGTCTAGATTGCAAATTTGTCTTAGAGATTTTATTCTCTTCTATATGAAAACCCAGTTTCATTTTGTCTCTGTGGAAATTCCATCTGATGCTCCTCCTCTTGCCAGTCCCCAGATTGCATTCCAGCAGCCTGGTTCTTAAGCTTAGAGAGCCTCATTTTTTTTAATGATACTTTGGTCTCCCTGGAGCTTCCCAGACATACAGGATTACTCTCAGCCTGTTCTGATTTCTTAATGCTCAGTGCTGTCACTCTTTATGCCCTCCCTTCATCAAGGTTTTTTTGTTTCTCTTTACTTTCTTACTTTACCACTGCTGAGCTGGGAGACAGCATGTGTATTTGTACAAACAAAATATCCTCTGTATTTTTGAAGAAAAAGCCCTTTGGGGTCCACACAGAAAAGCAACATGTATCTCAGACCTTCCATTATTTTTCCTTCCTTCCGGTCCTTCACTTTGCAGTACTCTTTTCCTTTTCCTGCTCTTTGGAGAGCTCTTAATTAAATGAGCCATCTTTGTTCTTTGGTTGAGGGCTTATTAGGTGAATCGTCTTAGAAACAATGGTATTTAAAAATAGCAAGTAACTACATGGCCTTTCCAAACGTGGTCCCTCTGCTTGACCCCCACTGTTGCCCTTCACTCCACCCCTTGGTCTGAGACCTGGGGCACAGACAGGAAATGAGAAGAGGGTAGAGCCTGGCCAAGGAGCCTGGCCTGGGGCTGGCATACATGGACCCCAAAGAGCTCTGCAAAAGCACAGCAGGCAAACAAAGGTGGCATTTATCAGAGAAGAAGAGCAACATGCACTCACACACCCGGGAAGCAGGAAGCTCTATGACCATCTCCCTGTCCGGTGGCAAGGTGCCCCTGTCCCTCATGGTTCTGCAGCTATGCTCTCTGGCCCGGGCGAGGGAGTCCAGCTCACCTTGCCCTTGCTGAGGAGGGACTGAGCCACTATGTGACTGTAGCTCTAGCTGTCTCTGAAGAAAATGCGTTCACACACCTGCTGCCCTGGGTTCTGCAAGGTGCCAGTGGCACCATGTGTGTGTGTGCAGTGTCTGTATTGTCACCTGCACCTACAGCTTCTTTGTAGAAGATGCTGAGGCTTTGGTTGCTGGGGTCTGTGACCAGAAGTGATTGGATTTAGACATTGTGATTCTGCCCCAGAGGACAGGCCTGCCCAGTGTGGGGAACCCTCCTAGCCTGTCTCCAGGACCTGCCAGACATTACCTGGGTGTTCTCTGGGTTCATGCATGGACACCTCGTGGCCATAACTGACCCCAGTGGGCAGTGGGAGTCTCTCAGGCCAGGAATAAATATTTCTACAAGAAACATTGTATTTTCTACTGAAGTGTGCAGCCCAGGTGCTCCTCTCCTCTCCACCAGCTTTGCCTGTTGGACACACAGAGCCTGGAGTGAGGAGATGCAGCCAATGGGGCCACCCTGTGCCAAGCACTTCCCACCAGGAGGGCAGGATGAGCCAGGGGCCCATGGTGAGAATCCCCTCCTTCCCATCCTAGTAAAGAGCACTCAGTAGCCTCTTCCTCACTTTCTTACTGTTGCTGAAATAGAACTCCATGATGTCTTCTTCCCAGACTAGGGCTGCTC